CGCCTACGCCGCGCCGCGCGGCTCCTCGCCCAAGCAGTCGCCCAGCCGCCTGGCCAAGTCCTACAGCACCAGCTCGCCCATCAACATCGTCGTGTCCTCGGCCGGCCTGTCGCCGATCCGCGTGACCTCGCCCCCCACCGTGCAGTCCACCATCTCGTCCTCGCCCATCCACCAGCTGAGCTCCACCATCGGCACGTACGCCACCCTGTCGCCCACCAAGCGCCTGGTCCACGCGTCTGAGCCCTACAGCAAGCACTCGCAGGAGCTGTATGCCACGGCCACGCTCCAGAGGCCAGGCAGCCTGGCAGGTAACCAGCGCGCGGTGGGGGGCCATGCCCAGGGGATGCAGGCTGGGAGGGTGCCAGGCGCACCAGGGGCTGGGGGTGGGAGCAGTGTTAACCCTCTGCTGGAGGTGGAGGGTGACCTGAGAGCTCTCCAGAATAGGCCAGGGGCTTCCTAGGAATAATGCCAGTTTCTACCCTAGTTTAGAACGAATGCAGTCTCTACAAATCCATCAGTAAGTCAGCCAGTCAGTCAGTCAATCCATGTGTACCTTGCTCCTCTCTCCCTACTCTGCTCTCCTCTCTCTTTTCCTCTATTCAATCAGTCTCTCTCCTCCCTCCCTCCCTTCAACCAGTACATATATCTCTCTTCTCTAGCCGCCCCCCCCCATCACTCTTCTCCCTCTTTTACCAACCTGAAGACCAAAACGCCAAGACAGCCATCAGGTCAAAGAAACTTGGTAAAGAACCATGAACCACAGACCTGTGGAATGTGCCATAGACACACCACAAAGCACAAAGCGGTCTCATGATTGCCGGCAGCCCCAGGAGTTGTCTACAGTTCCTTGTAGGAGAAAAGTAAAAAGTACTGGGCCTAAATCACACCCGCCACTTGAATAGCTGTCACTAGTCTGCAAACACCAGCAGGAACGCATTGTCGTGAACGTCTGAGTGCTGCACCGGGGACATCTTAAATGGGGTCTCGATGCCCTCGCCAGGGAAGAGTAAAAGACTCATCCAGACATGCTGTGGAATTTAAATGGATTTCAACAAGGTGGTGGGGCTGCGGCGGGGGACTGAAAATAAGATGCCTGGCTGTACCCAAGGGAGGGAGGGGCCCTGCTGGGCTGGAGTCAGAAGAGAGAAGCCTCACTTGTGCTTCTCTGCCAGCTCTAAGGAGATGACTTGTGTGTGGACCTGATGCCCACCGCAGACCAGGTTGTGCCCACGAGGTCCTGCTGTCAGTACCATATGCCCAGCTCCAACAAGACGCCCTGATTGAAAGGCTCATGTCTAGTCTCCGGAAACACCTGACGAGGACCTGGGTTTATTGTGGAATTCCGCCCGCTTGTAGAAGGCGTCTGTAATCGTGTCTCTGTAGTAACAGCTGCGGCGCTCATATGTTTCCTCTCTTGTCACAAATAGATAGCTGCGACGATAAATAGGATAAAAAGGGAACTTGTTGCATGAACGAGCCAGGTGTCCAAAGGGCTTTCTCTCGTTGCACACAGCTCTTGCCTGGAGGACTGGCACCACATGATGCTAGGTGCATCGCTAATAGGGAATTCTCTTCTCGCCCCCTCTATCCCTCGTTTTAATAGAGCTTGAGGTAGAAGTATCAAGACAGCAGCAACGTCAAACTATTGTCTCGGGACCGAGCAACCGCTATTTTGTTAGAAGATGAAGCTAGGAAACATGCACCAGCCTTTTCCAGAGGCTTATCAATGAAACGGCATGAATTCTTTCAAGGGGAAGGGCTGCTGGAGCTGGGGGGAGAATAAGCCCCATTACCCCTCCCAGGCACCGCCCAACAACCACTGAACAGTGGGGACTGAGGCCTAGGAGGGAGTGACTTAGAAAAGTCCACCTCAATCCTTCACGGATCTGTGCAGAGAAACCAGGAGAACTAGCCTCCAGAGCTTCCCATCCGTGAGTAGACTTATACCTGCCTCCACGCTCACTTTAGTAAAAATTAGTGCTAAAAAAATGATGGAGTCTGTGCATTGGGTGCAGGGAGGGGCATTTATTAGGTGCAATGACACTGAGTCAAGAAGTATGCTGCTTATAGCATTGATTTTCAGAAGAGTTGTAAAAGCTAGCACATTGTGAACATGACTTGTGCTCTAAGATCTGGAATGAATGTGACAGAGGTTTGGGGTGTGAGTGTGTTGTTTTATTGAACAGAAAGACAATGCGAACCTACCCCCACCCCATGCATCCCCATGTGCCTTTGCTTAGCATCTCATGTCCACATCCCTAAACATCTCTGATCATGCAGGGGGGAAATTTGTCTTTTTCAATATAGCATTGAAGATTGACGTGAGAACCACAGCAGATATTTTTAACTGTTTGAATCGGGTTGTTTAAAATGCATGCTCTTCAATATTCATTTCACACACATTACTGCTGGTGTTTTTTTCATTTCTAATAGTTCCCATCCCTCTGCACACAGACTGGATCATATACGATAGCACACCTCATTTGGATATGAGTGCATGGTGGCGCAGGCGTGTGTGTGTGTGTGTGTGTGTGTGTGTGTGTGTGTGTGTGTGTAAGGGACAGTCTCCCAGTGCAGGGAGAGAATACTGGAGATTTCTGACTCCGAGCAGAATTCTGTATGCCCGGCGCCTTTCAAGGCATTGTCAACCACCTATTTGTTCATTGAGTCAAGTCCTGACTGAAAAATGGTTTGGGTCATGGTGGGAACCTCCTTTTGGGGGTTGGTCACTGATTCATAAGGATGGTGACTGCAGGAGAGGCCTCTCTCTGATTAATTAATTCACTCAACAATTATCCAGAGAGCCCTTCTTACTTAGTGACACTAATGGAGCTGCTGGAGCCACAGTGGCCATCAATACCAACGCAAATGCCTGTCCCCAGCGCCAGTGGGGAAGACAGAAAGTAATCAGGTTAAACCTTGTGATTGGCTGACCAGGGCTCACTCTGATTTCAAGCTTCTGTTGAGTCTGTCAGGAAGGAGACTCTTTGGGCTGCTAACTGCAAGATCAGCAGTTGGAAACCACCAGCCTCTCCAAGGGAGAAAGATGAGATTTTTTTTCTACTCCCGTAAAGAGTTACCGCCTTGGAAGCCCATAGGGGGCTGTTCTACTCTGCCCCATAGTGTTCCAGGAGTCAGAGTTGACTTGATGGCAGTACGTTTTGTTTTTGTTTTTTTTTAGTTTTTGAAAGACATGAGTATGCTGGCCAAAGGAATAAATAAATGGAGGAAGGATGTTTTGATTGAACCAAAGCTATTAAAACAAACTCATTACTATCGAGTTGATTAATGCATATGGTCTTGTGAGTTACAAATGGTACTACTAGTTGCCAGGTCAACGGTTCAAACCTGCCAACCGTTCCACAGGAGAAAGATGAGGCATTCTACTCTCAGAAAGATTTAAAGTCTTGGGAATATGAAAGGGGCAGTTCTCTTCTGTCCAAAGGTTCTCTTTGAGTTGTTTTGAGGGCCAAGAGTAGCCACTTCAAAGGAGCAGACGTGGGAGCGTGTCTGATGTTTGCTGCCGGATGGAAGAGGAGGTCAGAGTATTGGTATAAGATCAGAGATGTGACCAACGGGCAGGGTTGGCTGCAGACCAGGGAAGCCTTTGGAAGTCTCCATGCTTTGCTCTCCCTATGGGCACCTTTGAGAGTTGGAGCAGAGGAGTGATGTGATTGGCCCTAGGTCGTAACCCGTCCCTGGCTGCTGGGTAGGGTCTGCATTGGAGAGGATTAAGGGCCAAAGTAGGGCTAGCTATCTGCTGGGAGGTAATTACAGTAGACCAAGCCAGCGGCTGATGGTGCCTTGGGCCAGAATGGTGGTGCTGGAGATGATACAGTTATGGAATGCTGCACATTAGGCGTTCGGTATAGGGTGGCGCTGACAGGATTCTCTCCTGGACTAGAGTGCGAGAAGAGAACGAGAACGCAAGAGTGTCACCCACCCACTGACCAAAAGGATGGAAGCCCCCATTGCTGCGTCGGGAAGCTGGCTGGGTTGAGGGCCACAGAGCTACATATGGAGAACTTGAACAGCCCTGTGTTTGTCTATGAGGTTCAAAGTGGGCATGGATGATGGAGCTGGATACGCAGGCTGGAGGGAGGCTCAGCCTAGAGCTGGCTAAGGGGGAGTCGTGGGCTTGTAGATGGCATTGAAAACCAAGGGTCTGGGTGAGATTTACCTAGCATGTGACAACAGAGAGCAGGGAAAAGGCATGCTTGGACCGAGTCAAGGTGCCTGGCACAAGTTAGAGGGTGACGTGTTGAGAAGGAACTGGGAAAAAAGAGATCGAGGATGCAAGAGTGTAGGCCCGTGCCATGCCTTGGTGCCACCACGAAGCGCTGGTCTCAACAGTGACAGAGAGCCAGCGCCGCAGAGGGCAACAAAGACGTGAAGGCACTGAAGAGGGAGGGTGGGAGTGCACGTGGCAGAGGGTGGAGCCGTAGGTGATGAAAACCTAATTGAAGAAGATCTAAGAGAACAGGAGGACACGAGCAGATGCGGATGACAGGGATGTTTTCCAGAAGCTCCCTCCGGTAAATGTTTCGTCCCAAGTTTCGTCCCAAGCATTCGCACAAATGATAAGTTCTCCCTTCCGGGTCAGGATCACATATCAATGGTACTCGTTATGAGGTGCAGTTGAGACAGTTCTGAATTACACAAGAGAACAAAACCCTGCTGCCCTGTTCCGCACCGTCCTCACAATGACTCTTATATTGGAGCTCATGCTTGTAGCCCTGTGTTAGTCCATCTGGTCAAGGGGTTTCTTCTTTTTTGCGATCCTTCTACCAAACATGATGTCCTTTCTCCAGAGACTGGCGTCTCCTGAGAATACGTCCAAAGTATGTTCGACAGTCCTGCCATCCTTCCCTCTAGAGTACTCTGACGGTACTTTTCCTAAACAGATTGTTCTTTTGGCAGTCCGTGGTACTTTCAGTACTCTGCCAGAACTGTAATCCAAATGCATCAATGCTTCTTCGGTTTTCCTTATTCACTGTCCGACTTTCACATGCATATGAGGCAATTGAAAAGACCATGGCTTGGGTCAGGCTCACCTCAGCCCTCAAAGTAATAGCCTTGCATTTCAACACCACAGAGGTCTTGTGCAGCGGATTTACCCAATGCAGTATGTCTTGCAGCTCTCCTGACTGCTGTTTCTGCTAGCCTTGCTTGTGGATCCAAGTAAGACAAAATCCTTCATAACTTTGATCTTTTTCCCATTTATCATGATGTTATCCATTGGTCCAGTTGTGAGGATGTTGGTCTTCTCTACCTTGAGTTGTCATCCATACTGAAGCCTGCCATCCTT